CGGGTGGTGCTGGTGGGAAGTGGAGACATGACCCGTTCCCTGGTAGGGTGTCTGGTCCGAGCCGGGTACCACCCACTTGTTGCTACCAGGAACCCTGCTAGAGCCAAGTAAGTGTGGGTATAGTGGACTGGGCCATATACATTGGCAGCGGTCTAATGCTAATATATGGGCTATTTACTTAATGATTTTGGCAGTTTAATGAAAAATTAGGATTCCAGACCTGATCGAAACGCTATGCGTGCTAGTGGCTTTAGAAAATTGTAAGAACTTTTGTGTGTATATATATATATATATATATATATATATATATATATATATATATATATATATATATATATATATATATATATATATATATATATATATTATATATATATATATATATATATATATATATATATATATATATATATATATATATATATATATATATATATATATATATATATATATATATATATATATGACAGTGTCATACCACGGAGGAAAATGAAACAGGAATTTCCTTAAGTACTTTCGTATATTAAATACATCTTCAGAAGGAATGATGAATCAGAAGGAATGATGATTCCTTCATCATTCCTTCTGAAGATGTATTTAATATACGAAAGTACTTAAGGAAATTCCTGTTTCATTTTCCTCCGTGGTCTGACATTGTCACATTCTTAATCACGTGTTTATCTTCGTGATATACACATATATATATATATATATATATATATATATATATATATATATATATATATATATATATATATATATATATATATATATATATATATATATATATATATATATATATATATATATATATATATATATATATATATATATATATTATTAAATATGACCGAAAAAGTAAGATTAATAATTCTAACACGAATTTTCTCAATCTTTCGTACATTATGCTTCACTGTTGGAGGTAAATCAAAAATCACTTCTCCAAAATTCATTTTTATTTCTAGTCTGACGCGACACGGGCGCGTTTCGTAAAACTTATTACATTTTCAAAGACTTCACAAATACACAACTGATTAGAACTTGCGTTTCCCTGATTTTATATCTACATTTGAGTGAGGTGGGAAGGGTGATGTGGCATTACATTTGAGTGAGGTGGGAAGGATGATGTGGCATTAACACAAGACAGAACACTAGAGGATATTAATAGGGTATTAAAAGTATCAACACAAGACAGAACAGAAACAATGGGTATTGAATAGAAGTGTTTGTAGAAAGCCTATTGGTCCATATTTCTTGATGCTTCTATATTGGAGCGGAGTCTTGAGGTGGGTAGAATATAGTTGTGCAATAATTGGCTGTTGATTGCTGGTGTTGACTTCTTGATGTGTAGTGCCTCGCAAACGTCAAGCCGCCTGCTATCGCTGTATCTATCGATGATTTCTGTGTTGTTTACTAGGATTTCTCTGGCGATGGTTTGGTTATGGGAAGAGATTATATGTTCCTTAATGGAGCCCTGTTGTTTATGCATCGTTAAACGCCTAGAAAGAGATGTTGTTGTCTTGCCTATATACTGGGTTTTTTGGAGCTTACAGTCCCCAAGTGGGCATTTGAAGGCATAGACGACGTTAGTCTCTTTTAAAGCGTTCTGTTTCGTGTCTGGAGAGTTTCTCATGAGTAGGCTGGCCGTTTTTCTGGTTTTATAGTAAATCGTCAGTTGTATCCTCTGATTTTTGTCTGTAGGGATAACGTTTCTATTAACAATATCTTTCAGGACCCTTTCCTCTGTTTTATGAGCTGTGGAAAAGAAGTTCCTGTAAAATAGTCTAATAGGGGGTATAGGTGTTGTGTTAGTTGTCTCTTCGGAGGTTGCATGGCTTTTCACTTTCCTTCTTATGATGTCTTCGATGAAACCATTGGAGAAGCCGTTATTGACTAGAACCTGCCTTACCCTACAGAGTTCTTCGTCGACTTGCTTCCATTCTGAGCTGTGGCTGAGAGCACGGTCGACGTATGCGTTAACAACACTCCTCTTGTACCTGTCAGGGCAGTCGCTGTTGGCATTTAGGCACATTCCTATGTTTGTTTCCTTTGTGTAGACTGCAGTGTGGAAACCTCCGCCCTTTTCCATGACTGTTACATCTAGAAAAGGCAGCTTCCCATCCTTTTCCGTCTCGTAAGTGAAACGCAGCACGGAACTCTGCTCAAATGCCTCCTTCAGCTCCTGCAGATGTCTGACATCAGGTACCTGTGTAAAAATGTCGTCAACATACCTGCAGTATATGGCCGGTTTCAAGTTCATGTCGACTAAGACTTTTTGCTCGATGGTACCCATGTAGAAGTTTGCAAACAGGACACCTAGGGGAGAACCCATGGCGACCCCATCTACTTGCTTATACATGTGCCCATCCGGGCTCAAGAAGGGTGCCTCTTTAGTACAAGCTTGGAGTAGTTTCCTCAGAATACTTTCTGGCATGTCAAGAGGAGTACAGGCTGGATCACGATACACTCTGTCGGCTATCATTCCGATTGTCTCGTCCACAGGAACCTGTGGACGAGACAATCGGAATGATAGCCGACAGAGTGTATCGTGATCCAGCCTGTACTCCACTTGACATGCCAGAAAGTATTCTGAGGAAACTACTCCAAGCTTGTACTAAAGAGGCACCCTTCTTGAGCCCGGATGGGCACATGTATAAGCAAGTAGATGGGGTCGCCATGGGTTCTCCCCTAGGTGTCCTGTTTGCAAACTTCTACATGGGTACCATCGAGCAAAAAGTCTTAGTCGACATGAACTTGAAACCGGCCATATACTGCAGGTATGTTGACGACATTTTTACACAGGTACCTGATGTCAGACATCTGCAGGAGCTGAAGGAGGCATTTGAGCAGAGTTCCGTGCTGCGTTTCACTTACGAGACGGAAAAGGATGGGAAGCTGCCTTTTCTAGATGTAACAGTCATGGAAAAGGGCGGAGGTTTCCACACTGCAGTCTACACAAAGGAAACAAACATAGGAATGTGCCTAAATGCCAACAGCGACTGCCCTGACAGGTACAAGAGGAGTGTTGTTAACGCATACGTCGACCGTGCTCTCAGCCACAGCTCAGAATGGAAGCAAGTCGACGAAGAACTCTGTAGGGTAAGGCAGGTTCTAGTCAATAACGGCTTCTCCAATGGTTTCATCGAAGACATCATAAGAAGGAAAGTGAAAAGCCATGCAACCTCCGAAGAGACAACTAACACAACACCTATACCCCCTATTAGACTATTTTACAGGAACTTCTTTTCCACAGCTCATAAAACAGAGGAAAGGGTCCTGAAAGATATTGTTAATAGAAACGTTATCCCTACAGACAAAAATCAGAGGATACAACTGACGATTTACTATAAAACCAGAAAAACGGCCAGCCTACTCATGAGAAACTCTCCAGACACGAAACAGAACGCTTTAAAAGAGACTAACGTCGTCTATGCCTTCAAATGCCCACTTGGGGACTGTAAGCTCCAAAAAACCCAGTATATAGGCAAGACAACAACATCTCTTTCTAGGCGTTTAACGATGCATAAACAACAGGGCTCCATTAAGGAACATATAATCTCTTCCCATAACCAAACCATCGCCAGAGAAATCCTAGTAAACAACACAGAAATCATCGATAGATACAGCGATAGCAGGCGGCTTGACGTTTGCGAGGCACTACACATCAAGAAGTCAACACCAGCAATCAACAGCCAATTATTGCACAACTATATTCTACCCACCTCAAGACTCCGCTCCAATATAGAAGCATCAAGAAATATGGACCAATAGGCTTTCTACAAACACTTCTATTCAATACCCATTGTTTCTGTTCTGTCTTGTGTTGATACTTTTAATACCCTATTAATATCCTCTAGTGTTCTGTCTTGTGTTAATGCCACATCATCCTTCCCACCTCACTCAAATGTAATGCCACATCACCCTTCCCACCTCACTCAAATGTAGATATAAAATCAGGGAAACGCAAGTTCTAATCAGTTGTGTATTTGTGAAGTCTTTGAAAATGTAATAAGTTTTACGAAACGCGCCCGTGTCGCGTCAGACTAGAAATAAAAATGAATTTTGGAGAAGTGATTTTTGATTTACCTCCAACAGTGAAGCATAATGTACGAAAGATTGAGAAAATTCGTGTTAGAATTATTAATCTTACTTTTTCGGTCATATTTAATAATATATGTCTACAGGAAAGACTGCTACCAAAATATACTAATATATATATATATATATATATATATATATATATATATATATATATATATATATATATATATATATATATATATATATATATATATGTACATTGTAGCAAAATTTAAGGATTATCAACAGGTACACTGTAGCATAATTTGAGGATTACTAATAGGTACATTGTAGTACAACTTGCGTTCAATACAATAACCAAGATATAAGTTAATACGAGTGAGTACAATGGTGAAGTTGCATAACTTAGGCGCATACATTGGGGGAGTGCTGGGTAGCACAAGTTACAGTGCGACTTTGAAGCACTAGGTTGGAAACTATGATGAAATTAGGTACTTTTTGGTTTTACTTTTGAATATTGCATAGGTTGGACAGCTTTTTAATTCAATAGGGAGTTCCATAGACCAGGTCCCATTATTTGCATAGAGTGTTCACAGAGATTTACTTTGACTCTGGCGATATCAAAAATTATTTATTTCTGGTGTGGTGCTGATGGGTTCTATTACATGTGTCAAGGAAAAGTTTCAGATCAGGATTTGCATTTAAGAACAAGGATTTGTAAATGTAAATGGCGCAAGAGAATGTGTAGTGAGCTTATGTTTAGCATGTTTAGGGATTTAAACAGCTGTGTGTTGTCTGAAAACAGAGTTTGTTATTGTTCTGAAACCGGTGAGACAATTGTTGTTATTCATGTTGCATGATAATTATTGTTCCGTGATAAGTGCCTGGGTCGCCCTGGTGTCTCTGTTGACCTGGTACCCAAGGCCCCCGAATAGAAGCAGTGCTTGGGTCGACCTCGCATGATTCCACCAAATCATGCCGTCCGGATCGTGCAAATTGATCATCTTAATAAGGGAGCGTACATGTTGCGGACCATAGAAAGTGGACAGACGACACCTCAGGTGGTCCTCCCTCTGATGGACCACCTGACCGAACATTACCATTACCAAACACGTGTAACGACCGGCCATACTGCCCACAGGTCCCCGGACGACCCCTCGGATGGACCAAGTATGGCAGAGAAGCTGCAGGAGCTGCTGCCGGAGGCCCAGGTGGTGAAGGCCCTCAACACTATGTCTGCTTACGTCCTCCAGAGGGGAGACCTCTACGCCGGCAGACAGGTGAGGAGCACATCTCCATGGTAACAGGGAGGAGGGGAGATCTCCATGGTAACAGAGGGAGGGGGGGAGACCTCCATGGTAACAGAGGGAGGAACAGAGATCTCCATGGTAACAGAGGGAGGGGGGGGAGACCTCCATGGTAACAGAGATCTCCATGGTAACAGAGGGTCCCGCCTTTCAATTCTAATCGACTGGTGTATGGGTTCCAAAGCCTATTGGGCTCTTATCATATCAACATTTACAGCTGTGTATGGATTCTGCCTCCACAACTTCACTTCTTAACCATTCAAATTTCTCTGTCCGAGTCCAGTAGGCTTTCCTCTCCCATGTGACACATTATGTCCGGCCTCTGAGTCCCCGTAGCCAGCCTCATTACCGTGCACTTGCTAGAGTTGAACTCTCGTAGCCACTTGAGGGACCATATATTAATGTGTGGAGGTGCTGCAGAAGTTTCATGCAGCGTTGTCATGTTACAGGTGCCAGTGTGTGGTGGCACTACACCAGCAAGGACACGGGTGATGGCACTGGTGAGGGACATGGGCCTGGCGCCCGTGGACATGGGCGGCCTGAAGAACGCCCGCGCCCTCGAAGACATCCCTCTCTCCTTCTTCCCCGAGTGGAAACTGGCCGCCATCGTCACAGGCATCATCTTCGTCGTGTTTTGGCTCCTCCCGCTCTTCCGGTGAGGCAGGTGTAGAGGCCAGGGTGGGTAGAGCCCAGGGTGGGTGGAGCCCAGGGTGGGTAGAGCCCAGGGTGGGTAGAGCCCAGGGTGGGTAGAGCCCAGGGTGGGTGGAGCCCAGGGTGGGTAGAGCCTAGGGTGGGTAGAACCCAGGGTGGGTGGAGCCCAGGGTGGGTAGAGCCTAGGGTGGGTAGAGCCCAGGGTGGGTAGAGCCCAGGGTGGGTGGAGCCCAGGGTGGGTAGAGCCCTAGGGTGGGTAGAGCCTAGGGTGGGTAGAACCCAGGGTGGGTAGAAGAGGGTGGTGGAGCCCAGGGTGGGTGGAGCCCAGGGAGGGTAGAGCCCAGGGTGGGTGGAGCCCCCAGGGTAGAGCCCAGGGTGGGTAGAGCCCAGGGTGGGTTGAGCCCAGGGTGGGTAGAACCCTAATAATACAATGCTTATTCATTGAGAGGCTCTGGTGGCCCCAACTGGCACTACAACCAGGATTTTATGAATCTCGGCTACGCTCTGGCCTGGCGGGGCCTTCAGAACCTCCTCGTGAATTCAGTAGAGTTCCAGGATGACTGGCTTTTTTTGTCCTATTGTGGTCTAGTGTGTTAAGGCAGGTGTCTGGGAAGCACCAGAACGCTGGTTCAAGTCACCACCTAATTGTCCTAAATTATTTCCTCACTGATATATCACGCCATTATAATTTCTTTGTATTATTATTATTATTATTATTATTATTATTATTATTATTGTTAAGTTGAATTCGGCCAACAGATCACAGATTTGTCCCAATCTGAAGAGCGATACAGCTTGGAATTGGAGTTATTTCAACTCTCTTCCACTCAGCGACACTCAGTTCGCTTTGGCCTTCGCCGGCTGCCTTCTTCTGCTGCTCTGCTACATCCCAGGTAACTCCTGCTGCTCCTGCGTTATTCCCAAAAGGAACACGTAACTGTTGTGGGTCGCATCTTGGAGGTCAGTACTAGGCCTACGGTGGTTGGGGGGGGGAGGAGGGACCTCGACTGACCTAAGTGTAGGCATCCTGTCCCCGACAACAGGAATTAAATATAATTTTCCCATAAGGTACTGAGGTAAGGGAGAAGCATTGCCAGACATGTGGCTTTATTGAGCAAATAATTACAGTACAGTTACATCCTACAGTAACACAAGCCATATAATATACAATACTTATAATGAATAAACAATGCTTAAACTATATATAATAATAAGCAAACTGCACATGACTAAAGCTAGAACAAATATAAATTAAACTAGGAGTTTAACATTCAACTAACCTGCACACAGGCACGACACAGCTGAGCTGACAACAACGAAACACTCAAGCGAGCATCCATACGGGTACAATAATAATAACACTTCTACTACAGGTACACTATATGAACGTAAATCAAAAAATAAATTTTTGTAAAGTGTAATGTATGGCGCTTGTGACACACACAGTAGACAAACTATTTAGCACGGATGGAATACGAACAAGGGGACACATGGAAACTTAACCCAAATGAACCACACAGACATTAGAAAGAACTTTTTCAGGGTTAGAGTAGTTAACAGATAGAATGCATTAGGCAGTCATGTGATGGAGGCTGACTGCATGCACAGTTTCAAGTTTTGATAGATTTGATAGACCTTAATAATGACTCATACGTCAGGCTGCGAGCAGCCGCGTCCAACAGCCTGGTTGATCAGTCCGGCAACCAGGAGGCCTGGTCGACGACCGGGCCGCGGGGACGCTAAGCCCCGGAAGCACCTCAAGGTAACCTCAAGGTAATAGGCTCAAGAATCTGTACGCCAGTTGAGAGGCGGGACCAAAGAGCCAAAGCTCAACCCCCGCAACCAGGTGAGTACAGTTGGCAAAACATTAAACATATTGGGCACGACGCTCGTGACAGAGGTATAGTGATTCACAATGCTCACGTGGTCACACAGCTGAGAATATGGAGTGTAGACATGTAGATATTGATAGTAGCAGACGGGGAGAGTGTAGATACACAGAAAGCTATATATAAATAGTGAGGCAAATAAATATATAGTGAAACAAATAGCTATGCATAAGAGCACTAGTGGGAAGGAACGGGTGGAAGAGGAGGGCGAGGTAATGGACAAATATTAGTGAAAGGGAGCAAAGGCAATAGACATATAAAAGGATGAGGGATTTAATAGACATTTAATTATTTTTTCCCTTGATTCATTGAACATTAAGCTTCACAATTATTTTGAAGGATTATTTTGTAACACATAAATTAATGAGCATTTACATATATCTGTAGCACGAACAATAAATAATATACTTCACTTGCCCACATGTAAACAATCTGATGACGGGGTGAGAATAGCTTGAGCTACTTCATCCCTTTGTGTGTATTTTACCTCAATAAACTTATTTCAATCTGATGTATACTGTACCAGTTCTCTGGTTCTCCTCCACATGGAGAAACATTCTCTCTCTATCTGCATCCTTTGGAGAGAGAGAGAGAGGATGGAGGGCGGGGGAAGGAGAGCAGATGTGTGACGTGTGTGTGTCTTGCAGGAATGATGGCCGCCTACCTGCAGCTCTGGAGAGGAACTAAGTACTCTCAATTCCCTGACTGGCTCGACGCCTGGCTCAAGGCTCGCAAGCAGTTAGGACTTCTGGCTCTCCTGCTGGGAGCCACACATGTAAGTGCTAGCTGTCTCCTGTTGGGTCTTGTGACTCTCCTGCTGGTTCTTGTGGCTCTCCTGTTGGGTCTTCTAGCTCTCCTGTTGTATCTTGTGGCTCTCCTGCTGGGTCTTATGGCTCTCCTGTTGGGTCTTGTGGCTCTCCTGTTGGGTCTTCTAGCTCTCCTGTTGGGTCTTCTAGCTCTCCTGCTGGGTCTTGTGGCTCTCCTGTTGTATCTTGTGGCTCTCCTGCTGGGTCTTATGGCTCTCCTGTTGGGTCTTGTAGCTCTCCTGTTGGGTCTTTTAGCTCTCCTCCTGGGTCTTGTGGCTCTCCTGTTGGGTCTTCTAGCTCTCCTGTTGGGTCTTCTAGCTCTCCTGCTGGATCTTCTAGCTCTCCTGCTGGGTCTTGTGGCTCTTCTGATGTGAGGTAGGCTCTTCTGCTTGGAGCTTAACTCATCCTCTGGGAATTAGGCTATGTAACTGGGAGCTACGCTCTACTGCAGGGAGCTAGGCTCTCATGCCTAGGAGCTAGGCTGGGAGCTACACATTTAAGTGGTAAGAGTGAACCGCTCTTCTTTGGGTAACAAATCTATATGAGAAGTAAGTTAACATATATGACTTATTCAACAAATTTAGCCATAGGTTATGTTCTTCGGCAGAGTCCAAGACTGACTAGCAGTGGGCCAAGATTCATCAGCACCTAAGTCACCACTTGTACATCTTTCCTCAATCATGGCGGCTGTTTACATTTATTAAACAATTTACGAGCTGCGAAGCACTACGAGGTTGTTTATAATAATAGTAACCTTGGGTGTGACGCTTGTATGCTGTTTAATAAATACATACTGAGCTGTCATGATCAATGAAAGATGAGCCGATTTCGGAAATGGACGCTTAAATGGCTGGTGATTCCAGGCCCGCTGTCAATCACGTGGACAATTTCACACAATTGATAGCAAAAGTCTACAAATGTTGCGAGAGTGATGACTCAGGGCTTCATCCCCCTCCCTACTGAACCCTCTCACTAATATACTTACATTATCAACTCTGTAATCAGCTTATCAGGACAGTAACGTGCTTGCCTTAATGGTATGGGGGTTCAGTTCCTTTATTTCTTATAGATTATATTTATTATTATAATATATCTGCCTCTGTGACCTTTTCCCTCTATGGGTATGTGGTGCCTCGGTAACCTTTTCCTCTACCACCCACAGGATGGGTATGGGGTGCCTAATAAATTAATATAATCAAGCCATAAATGATTCTATTTTCTTAATTTAGTTGTTCCTCGTCTCTATGCATAAACTAATTAATAAGGATATATGACAGTGTACACATGAAGGTTCGACAATGTATTTAAAACTTAGTTCTAACCATGCCCTTCTTAACCTAAGTTAACACAACCGAGCCTAACAAAGAATAACCTAAGCTAATGTGCATCCTATCCTAACCTAACCTTACCTAACAATGTAGACAGTTGTAGCCAACATGAAACGTGTTTTATCGAAATTTGTCATGCTTTATTGTCTCTTTTTTTCTTGTTTTTACTTTGTTCAACTTCAGTTCAATTTTTGCTTTTGATCTCAATTAGTTATACGTTTTAGTTTTTAAGTTCATTTTTGCACATGGCCGCAACGCTGTGCGTATTGGTGGCTTTAGGCAGAGGATATACTTGCTCTATATACATACATATAACTCATTGTAACTCATTTTGTATCCATGTACTTTTCCCTAAATAAACATCATCGTTATCATAATGGTCTGGTGTAGTGGTTGACTATACCCCCATTACTAATGGTCTGGTGTAGTGTGACCATACCCTCATTACTAATGGTCTGGTGTAGTGGTTGACTATACCCCCATTACTAATGGTCTGGTGTAGTGGTTGACCATACCCCCATTACTAATGGTCTGGTGTAGTGGTTGACTATACCCACATTACTAATGGTCTGGTGTAGTGTGACCATACCCCCATTACTAATGGTCTGGTGTAGTGGTTGACCATACCCCCATTACTAATGGTCTGGTGTACTGGTTGACCATACCCCCATTACTAATGGTCTGGTGTAGTGGTTGACTATACCCCCATTACTAATGGTCTGGTGTAGTGGTTGACCATATCCCCATTACTAATGGTCTGGTGTAGTGGTTGACTATACCCCCATTACTAATGGTCTGGTGTAGTGGTTGACTATACCCCCATTACTAATGGTCTGGTGTAGTGGTTGACTATACCCCCATTACTAATGGTCTGGTGTAGTGGTTGACTATACCCCCATTACTAATGGTCTGGTGTAGTGGTTGACTATACCCCCATTACTAATGGTCTGGTGTAGTGGTTGACTATACCCCCATTACTAATGGTCTGGTGTAGTGGTTGACTATACCCCCATTACTAATGGTCTGGTGTAGTGGTTGACCATACCCCCATTACTAATGGTCTGGTGTAGTGGTTGACTATACCCCCATTACTAATGGTCTGGTGTAGTGGTTGACTATACCCCCATTACTAATGGTCTGGTGTAGTGTGACCGTACCCCCATTACTAATGGTCTGGTGTAGTGATTGACTATACCCCCATTACTAATGGTCTGGTGTAGTGGTTGACTATACCCTCATTACTAATGGTCTGGTGTAGTGGTTGACTATACCCCCATTACTAATGGTCTGGTGTAGTGGTTGACTATACCCCCATTACTAATGGTCTGGTGTAGTGTGACCGTACCCCCATTACTAATGGTCTGGTGCAGTGGTTGACTATACCCCCATTACTAATGGTCTGGTGTAGTGTGACCATACCCCCATTACTAATGGTCTGGTGTAGTGGTTGACTATACCCCTATTACTAATGGTCTGGTGTAGTGGTTGACCATAACCTCATTACTAATGGTCTGGTGTAGTGGTTGACTATACCCCCCTTACTAATGGTCTGGTGTAGTGTGACCATACCCCCATTACTAATGGTCTGGTGTAGTGTGTGACCATACCCCCATTACTAATGGTCTGGTGTGTCTTCGTCAGGGGTGTATGGCCATCTTCTCCAAAATGAGCCATCAGATGCATGACGTCTGGTATGAGTCGACCTACATCGCTGCTGGTAAGTCTAAGATAATGTCTCCAGCATAGGGTTAATAGGTTGCCCATTTTCCTAACCTACTTTGCTCTTATCTGAAATAATACATTATTTATAAACCATTTCTTATCAATTAATTATTTTTTTTGTATATGGTGTTACAATTCTCATTTATTATTATATATGAAGTGCCGAAACGCACTTTACTGCCTGAAACGCTGCGCGTACTAGTGGCTTTACAAGACTGTAAATACTATGCTATGTAATCTCTCTAACCCAATGTACCTTCTTGTATATAAATAAATAAAATAAAATAAAAAATAAAATGAAGTCTTATCCCGTCATGGCTTCGTATGTATAATCGGGGCTCTCCATATTCCGTCGGTGCTCGGAATTTTCAAATCCATCTAGATAAAATCATTAGGACAAATCGGAGGTCTTAAGGGGGGAAGGAACCTATGACAAGCCGGCGGCTCCCTGTACTCGTCGAGGCCCCTGGGTAAATTCATGTAATTCTGCCCCTTTACCAATGTACTGAATTCAGCTACGAGAAGTCTAGGGACACGACCAACCATATTTAACCTATTAGGTGTATCTGGGATGTGGGTGGGACAGTGACCTTTGATAAGTCTTCCTGTCCCCGTCCAGGGCACTAGAGAGATGGTGGGCCTCAGGTAACCTAGGTATGAATTACCAGTGAAGATTCATATCCTGATAATTATAAGGATTTATAAGCAGCTAATACTCATACATTTCTATAGTGAAAAACATCAGTTGACATAAGGCACATTGACCTCCAGTGAACCCCTATACGTCAACTGATGTTAATCTCACTCAAGGGTTTATATTGCATGTGCTAATTGTGTTACTCTCAGGTGCCCTCCTGACGGCGGTGATGGCCGTCATGGGGATCACATCACTGCCTTCCGTGTCGGCCAAACTGACGTGGCGGGAGTTCTCGGTGCTGCAGCGGTACCTGGGCTGGGCCTCCGTTGTCCTGGTCACCCTCCACCTCACCACTGCCAGTTTCAAGCATTTCCTCCAGCCCTTTGCCTGTGCAGTCTTGCCGTCGGGGTCACAGGTACAGTGAACAAGGAAACATTCTTTTATACGTTTGGTTGAGACTGGCTCCTCCTTACACCAGACTTTCATACATTATTTATTGATTTATTTATTTACTTACTTCATTTTTAACATTCATACTGTGAGGATACCGTGGCTAAGATGATGAGTGTCAAAGTCTGGGTACAGAGCATTACTTCAATTACGGGCTATTCATGTCTGTTAAGCCACCTCTTGGGTGGCTTAATCTTCACCAATTACTTCAGGGTGGAATACAGTCTGGTTCGTTCTCGACTCACAATCGGCAATTCCGGGTTCAAATCTCTGGCGAGACAGAAATGGGTGGGTGCGTTTCCTTTCACCTAATGCACCTGCTCACCTAGCAGTAAATAGGTCCCCAGGAGTTAGGTTTGACCTTAGGGGAAGCCCTCTATATAAGTCTAACATGTAAGTAATGAATGAGTATACAGGATTGGGGAGAATGAAGATTATCATGTAGTCCTTGGCTCCTTGCTGTCACAAGGCCATCTGGATGTGGGTCTACTTTACATTATATTATATCAACATTTGGTCCCAGCATTACCAGTATTCATAAGCTCTAGATCTCAACAGGTCACCATATTAGTATCCTATAAGCCATAAACATCATGATTAGAGTGATTGCAGATTTTTGCTTGAAGTATGAAAAGAAATTTGTTTGCTTACATTCAATAAGAAATGGATTGTAACAAAATAATATTTACCAAATACACAACAACTAACTTAATTACCATTAAATTATTCACTTTACACAGGTAAATATTTTATTTAAAAATGCAGACTTCAAAGCAGTTTTCCTTTAAATAAGTTTCAAGGAGATAAAAGATGAACTTAATTTTGTCTGAAATTTGCTGATAGCTTGATATGCCTTTCTTTGAATTCAGTAATTATAAAAGCATTTTCAACAGATATCTTACATGAATTCTGCTCCACTACCTTTTCACTACTGTACTAATGTAGGCCCCCTGTGCAGTAAATTCCATTAAGACTTTTTGCTTACTGGTACATTAAAGTTTAGTATCTCCCAACAAGGGAAATTTTAGCTTCTCTTAAATGTATTTAAATATTAATAATATGTTCAGGTAAAGAGCAGTGTATTGCTTTCCTATTCTATATGAAGAATTACAGTGTATAGTTCAGGAACTAGCTAGAAGTTTATCTAATATCCCCATTTCATAGGATGGTTAGTCAAACATGACAAACAAAATATGCAAGGAAGATAGTGACTGTCCTGCCATTATTGGGACAATTGATCACAATAAATATAGTAGCTGCCTATATACATACTTAGTCATTTATGATATTCATTTATTCTAGGCTATATTGTATCTAAAAAAGTTATTTTTGCCTTCCCCGGAAAATGGTACGTACTATACTTACCGCCACCATTCTACCATGCCCAACAGATCATGGTGCCTCTGTGCTTCCTCACACTGCTGTTCAAGGTTCCCCTGCTTGTTCCTTGTGTCGACTCTTATTTGGCCAAGATCCGTGGAGGCTACGAGAGGCCAGACCGCCGAGCAACTACCCAGCGAAGTAAAGAATTAGTTGCCTAAACAGATGGTTCTGATATAAATTACATGAAGAGAAAACAGGAAATGCTTTTCCACTCATAGGGTTATAAACCCCATGAAAACGTCTACCCACCAAAGCCATAAATGCCAAAACACTACCGCATTGAAAATCCAGCCGGATAAAACCATCTGGACAAATGGCAGGGAGACCTTTGACAAACCACTGACTTCTTGTCCTCGTCAAGGCCACTAAACATGGTGGTCCTCAGGTAAATGAACATTGAAATATACAAAAAATACAATTAAATTTTTTACACAATTAATTTGTGTCAATTTGATCAGGAAGGGTAAACACACATTTGTCTCATCTCAGGTTTTTCACACCAGTATTGCATTCATTGCTTCCTTGTTAAATTTTGTAAATACATTAATTACAAAATTTTCAATATACCATTGTTTTTGTTTTCTGTAAAGGCATTGATTCCTGCAAGCTTGTTACGCTGATTACAAAATTTTCAATATACCGTCCTGCTTGGGGTTAATTGTGCTCTAATGTAACAATGAGTAACAAGCTTGCAGAAATCAATGCCTTTACAGAAAACCTGGCTTTCTCATACAAATTTATGTCAGAACAACCTGATGTTTTGATGTTTTGATGATGCTGATGTTTTGTTTATCTTTTGACATTTATTTTTGTTATTTTTTAACAACATAAAAGTAAGCAACAGTGGTATCACCCAACTGGTCTGGTTGGTAACCCAGCACACCCAGACTCATTGGAACCGACCATGTATGCAGATTTTCCAAGCTAAGCTGGATCTTACTGGGTTAACATGTCCTTCCCTGCAAACACAGAACTCAATTGCAATGTTCTGAAATGTTTGTTTTTCTTCTTGTATAATGATTTGTTCAGTTCCTGCAACATTGTGTGTAGCACCTCACAATTCTCAGACAGCACCGAGAAACATTGTGCTGTATGCAGATGACGAGTTACAATAACGTGGCTTAAGATATGAAAAATGAGGAGACGACGACATTTCGGTCCGTCCTGGACCATTATCAAATCGGTTGTGGTGTATTTCTGTGTTGGTAATGTATGAGCTGATATGCTTTGTCTCAAGTCTGTGAGCCTCATGAGAACCTCATCTTCGGTGTCAAAAATGTGTTAATCTTATCTCCTTGATTATATATATTCAAAGTGCACATTTTTAGTCAGAATGGTAAAAGATTAAAGGAAACCTGTTATATAAAAATACTTCAGAGTTCAAGTATTTTGTTTGTTTTAATTATAAACTAGATTCAAGTCAATTTATTACAAAGACACTTCTGAATTATGTTAATTTTTAAAAGCGATTATAAGGAAAGCTAATTGGTTTTCAACACAACATAATTTATAATACTCTATATTTTGATGAACTGAATTTCTTTTCACACATGTATTTACAACAGATTTCTAAATTAATATTACAAGATATTATTATTATAAAGATTAATTTTAAACTGATCAAATCTAATCCTGAGTAAGTTAATAATTTTTTTTTTTTTTTACAAATACAGGTAGTTTACTATTAATGCTTATATAAACTACTGACATGAGCATAATGAGATATTAATATTAAATAATACTACAGTAGTATATCAACTGAATATTAACAATTTGAAAATGAAGTAGACTTTAATCAGCTAAAAAAAAAAAAAAAGTTTGGGAAGATCTGTCAATACCTATGTAAAGAAGTTCTTACTTAATTTGCACACACACATGGAGAGACATAACATGCACACAGCTACTTGGCAACACTGTATGTACATTACTCACATTACCTGATTACATTTTTTTCTTAATTCCTTTTTGAAATACTCCTATAAGTTTTGAATGCTCAATAATTTATATTCCTATTTTTATACACGATTTGCTTAATATTTTTTCAAAGCTTTATTTACAATAGAAAATTGCCATTAATGATTCAAGCATGTAATTTCTAGCGAGTTTAGCACTGCCAAATAAGGGCTCAGGGCGACATAGTTCGAACACCATATTAAAATTCTGTGATTACAGATCGAGGAGCGTGTATGATTATACTTTGATAGGCATACGCCCTTCCAAGAAGCCTTATGTAGTGTATATAAATAGTGTACTGACATATTTTCTAACATACCAAATATTTAGACAATTTTTAATCACATGAATTAAATAAGGTTATTAAAACGATTTCCTGTGCCTGAGATATGACCATAATTTTTTTATAAATAAATTAAATTTATAGGCAGACTTATGCACCTAGTTCAGGAAGCCTGCAGTCAACAACACTATAAATTCAGTAAAGAATTTTTAGAAAATATGCAATTTAAAGTAAATTATAATAAACTTTTATAATGAACAGGTTTTAACTACGATTAAACGAAATATATAAAGGTAATCCACTAGGGCTATGAAGTGGCGCGAACTAATGACCCTGGCATTTCCAGCCGCATACTCTACCACTAGACCACCACTGACTTGATTAAAGTCATACAACCAGATTTCTACTGAAATCACAGGAAGTATGGAGGCCCCCCATACTAAAGCCCTACCACCCGAATGCTTCTGAGTCATATGTAAAAACTTAGACTGGCTTCAATAAGGGCTTCCAGACTTCCTGTGATTTCAGTAGAAATCTGGTTGTATGACTTTAATCAAGTCAGCAGTGGTCTAGTGGTAGGGTATGCGGCTCGGCAATGCCAGGGTCATAGGTTCGCACCATCTTAAAGCCATAGTGGATTTTCTCATTGATACACTGTATATCACATTAATATGATTTTTGTGTTAATTAAATATATTGTGCAAAACTGTCATACTTGAAGTAGCTTTATGAGAACACTTTCTACCCACCTGCTTGGCTAAATGTTTTTGTTTACATAAAAACTCCAATTAAATTTTTCCTCATTGCTCTCTAGGAGAGCAGTTTGTGAACTATGCAAACAAAGCTTTTGCGCGACCACTTCTGTGGCTGGTGACGACTTTTATAACAAGGTCATATTTGCCTCTGGCCACCTTCAGGTGTGAAGGTGGCCAGAGGCCTTCACACCTGTAACTCTCCCAAACACTGTAGGTATACTAACGTGTGTGTGACAACTATTCATGGAGCGGGTAAACATGATTGTTTTTGTAGTCCGACTTAAGAGTTGACTACATGATCAACATAAATCAGTATTACTTATAATAGTCTAATTATATGTTAATGTGCACATAGTTCAGTTTCAAGAAACTATCTATGTTTTAAAGCAATATATTTTTTTTAATAAATATTTATGTAAACATAGATCAGTTAAAAAACTATTTATGTCTTACAACTACAGTATTATCAATAAAGCTGAATGTGTTTTATTATAAAACTCTGTTTCATTACAATAGCACCTTTACATGTTATATTTGTTGTACACAACATGCAAATGACTAATGTAGAACTATCGTGTAAAAACAAAATTACAATGTAATGGCAACAAGAAATAGCAATTATAAGACAAAATTTTATATGAAAAAGGTACCAATATTGTATAAATATAATATATATATATATATATATATATATATATATATATATATATATATATATATATATATATATATATATATATATATATATATATATATATATATATATATATAATATATATATATATATATATATATATATATATAATATATAGTGTATACTAGTATTATACAGTACATGTGTTTATAATCACAAATAAATTAACACGTGATTAACAATGTGACATTGTCAGACCACGAAAGGATTAAGACAAGAAATTCCTTAAGTACTTTCATACTTAAGTCCCTGATTTTTTAACCTTCCTCAAACACTCAAATTACAAAATTCACAATTTCAAATTTTGTTTAAAAACTGCATATTTTACCAATATTTATTTTTTCATTATGGACTCAGAATGGCATATAACATTCATTTTCATAAATGTAAAATCTAGTTTGAGAGTATAGGTTACTGTAAACAAAATAGTCAATGTGACCTTCAAAATATGAGCAAAATTTAGAGGCAAAAATTGTATAACTCCCAAAGTCATGGGTCTATGAATAAATGCTATTTATGACACCTTAGACCTAAGAACTTTGTACAGAATATGTAAAAATGGTGAGAATCACTCAAGCTGAATTTTTGAAGATGTCTCAAAGTTGAAAATCCTGTTCATACAGAAAAATGTAGTTAAAGTTCTCCACAATGAATATAGTAGTTCGAATTTATGACATTTTGTAAGTTTTAATAAACATTGCTTGGCATTTGTATTCGAATATGTGAAAATTATAGATCAATGTGTGTTAATTAAAATGAGTCAAGAAAAAATATCCCCCCCTCAAAAAAAAAAAACAATTATAGGGATGAGGATAATGGGCTAGGGGATATATAAGTATACTTTATATAAGTGATAAAGTCCTCATCTGGTCCCCATTAAGCAAAACAACCTAGACAAAGAAAATAGTTTGAAATGTGATAAAATTGGCAAAAATAAACAAAAAGTCACAAGTTCTGCAACCTGTGGCTGATTTACATGTTGACCAATTTCATTTCAACTTCACATACGTAGTGATGGATATGCATTCTCAAAGATGTAGAAGCTATATCAAAATCAGATATGAAACAAAAGAGAAAAAAAATTGGAGGACATAAGAAATATTGCCAGTGGGCAATGTAACAGTCACAAATGTCCAGATAGTCACCCTGCAGCCATGGAGGGATGGTAAACAGGTTGTGTGGGACTACATGTGTGCATCTACATTGGCTGATACCTATCTACCTCGCAGTACAGCTGAGGGAGACGGGGGCTTACATCTTCAGGGAGACCCCAGAAAACTAAAAAGTACAATACAGGGGACCTCGAACGTTGTTACAGGTTCGTGCCGATAGGCTCTGAAACCCTGGGCGCCTGGGGTAAATGTGCACTTATGTTCCTAAGGTGGATGGGTGACAAACTCATTAGGAAAACTAAAGACTCAGGAGTGGCCAATTTCCTGTTCCAGCGCCTCAGTGTCGTGATCCAGAGAGGTATATATATATATATATATATATATATATATATATATATATATATATATATATATATATATATATATATATATATATATATATATATATATATATATATATATATATATATATATATATATATATATATATATATATATATATATATATATATATATATATATATATATATATATATATATATATATATATATATATATATATATATATATATAATATAATATATATATATATATATATATATATATATATATATATATATATATATATATATATATATATATATATATATATATATATATATATATATATATATATATATATATATATATATATATATATATATATATATATATATATATATATATATATATATATATATATATATATATATATATATATATATATATATATATATATATATATATATATATATATATATATATATATATATATATATATATATATATATATATATATATATATATATATATATATATATATATATATATATATATATATATATATATATATATATATATATATATATATATATATATATATATATATATATATATATATATATATATATATATATATATATATATATATATATATATATATATATATATATATATATATATATATATATATATATATATATATATATATATATATATATATATATATATATATATATATATATATATATATATATATATAATATATATATATATATATATATATATATATATATATATATATATATATATATAATATATATATATATATATATATATATATATATATATATATATATATATATATATATATATATATATATATATATATATATATATATATATATATATATATATATATATATATATATATATATATATATATATATATATATATATATATATATATATATATATATATATATATATATATATATATATATATATATATATATATATATATATATATATATATATATAAGATATATCCAACAAGTACAAACACAAGTTTTGCCAGAGAGCAAAACGTATCCAGCACCGGGACACCTGCTCCACCTCCGCCACTCAAACCGGCAAACTGCTTGTCCATCGCCTGCCTATCGCTGATTGGCTGATGCCCGTCGCACCTGCTCCTCCACCCGCCACACGAGCTGATGTCTGAGCCACCGCAACCTAAGGAAGGCAGAATATATCGTGCTCCACACAAGTTAACACGTCTCATTGGTAGACTAAGCCTTGGCTTACGTGTACTAAGGGAGGTGGCAGCTTGAAGCCAATATTCCTGCACTAATATAATTTACTTTGCTATTACTCACTTGTCTTAACGTAACTTTTCATTTGCCAGTGATTATTCTTATATTTTTTTTGATTGATTTATCTGTTACAATTTTTATGTCCAATTTTATTCATGTTTTGCTTTTCTAACGTAATTAAAATTTCATTGTTAAATTTACTTGTGTTTGTGTGTCTTCCCATTACCTTACCACAGACAAAAGTTCCAGATTTTCTCTTTTTGTTTCTTTATGTGACGAGGCCATACCCCTAGCTTTTGAAACAGACCGAACACCAACACGTTACGTCACAATATATATAATATATATATATGTCGTACCTAATAGCCAGAACGCACTTCTCAGCCTACTATTCAAGGCCCGATTTGCCTAATAAGCCAAGTTTTCATGAATTAATGTTTTTTCGTCTACCTAACCTACCTACCTAACCTAACCTAGCTTTTTTTGGCTACCTAACCTAACTTACCTATAAATATAGGTTAGTTAGGTTAGGTAGGTTGGTTAGGTTCGGTCATATATCTACGTTAATTTTAACTCCAATAAAAAAAATTGACCTCATACATAGAGAAAAGGGTTGCTTTATCATTTCATAAGAAAAAAAATTATAGTAAATATATTAATTCAGGAAAACTTGGCTTATTAGGCAAATCGGGCCTTGAATAGTAGGCTGAGAAGTGAGTTCTGGCTACTAGGTACGACATATATATATATATATATATATATATATATATATATATATATATATATATATATATATATAATATATATATATAATATATATATATATATATATATATATATATATATATATATAATATATCTAATACTGTATATATGTCGTACCTAGTAGCCAGAACGCACTTCTCAGCCTACTATGCAAGGCCTGATTTGCCTAATAAGCCAAGTTTTCCTGAATTAATATATTTTCTCTAATTTTTTTTCTTATGAAATGATAGAGCTACCCATTTCATTATGTATGAGGTCAATTTTTTTTATTGTAGTTAAAATTAACGTAGATATATGACCGAACCTAACCAATCTTTATAGGTTAGGTAGCCGAAAAAGTTAGGTTAGGTAGGTTAGGTCGTCGACAAAACAATAATTCAAGAAAACTTGGCTTATTAGGCAAATCGGGCCTTGCATCGGGCTGAGAAGTACGTTCTGGCTACTAGGTACGACATTATATATATATATATAATACGCCTGTATATATATATATATATATTGAATGCATACATACATACTGTACATACACATACATTCACACTCATACTCACTCAGGGGTCATACAATCTCTGGGGTCTGGTAGCTGAGTGGACAGCGCACGGGACTCGTAATCCTGTGGCCCGGGTTCAATTCCCAGACTAGGCAGAGACAAATGGGCAAGGTTTCTTTCACCCCTGATGCTCCTGCTACCTTACAGTAAATAAGTACCTGGGAGTTGGACAGCTGTTACTGGCTGCTTCCTGGAGGAAGGGACGGGGGGGGGGGGGGGGGGGGGTGGACAAAATATATAAAAATATTAGTTAGTAACAGTTGGTTGACAGTTTGAGAGGCGGGCCAAAAGAGCAGAGCTCAACCCTCGCAAGCACAACTAGCCGCATACACACACACTGTATATATAGACAGGTTGGGGTAGGCCTTTCAAGAATTAATAGGCCAAGGATGTAAAAATTATTTTTATTTATAACAAGTATTTTTTGCAACATGCACATGTTACAAAGCAAGCATAGACTTAACATTTATATCGTACAATATTTATGCTTTATTATATCCCCATTATATCACAATTATTTCTCAATCACTGAGTTGGAAAATTTACACAAAAAATACAAAGCCCTTAACACTGTTTCATGAAGAAATTATACTAATGACTTGGAAATCTTTGTCACGTTATGAAGAGAGCAAGTTATAACTTAAGTCAAGAATTTCCCTGCAACAAATAACCATTATATCAATCATTCTAAATATATAAAACTAGTCTAAATAAATTTGTCGAGTTCCTATTATACCAACCAGAAGTCTCAATCATCTAAGGCTTCCTAGTACTTGTGGTATGTGACAAATAGCTAATGTTTGTTAGTGATGAAATTTCAGTTTGACTGTTACCCCTGCATGTACTTTCTGTAAACAAAGCAAAAAAATAAAGATTCACTCTTAACACTGACGTTTAAATTCTGCTAGCTATTCAAGCTATGAAGAAATATCTTTCACCTTTTTATCTAAAATCTTAAAATGAAGTGTAGCAGCTGTCATCACAACCTGCATTAGCCAGAACACTATATACTGACTAAACCATTTAAGGCATTAATCACATCAAATGGTAATGCATACACTAGATGCAAAAAGCCTTTACTTAAAAGTTTTTATATTGTGCATTCATTTTAGAATAATGTATACATGCCGAGCCTACCACAAGCAATTTAATTCATTCACTCTTAGCTGTTATCACCAAAAGCATATTCAGTGTAAATGTGTAAATTGTCATATGCTCATATTGTCTTATGACTGTCATAATCAGAATTTTCCACTATTAATACATTGTAAAATGTATTGAGTTGCATCAATTGCACCATGCTAGAGTCCTGCATACAACATGCCACCTTGTGCATGAAACATAACTAATCCACACCACTGCTTTAGGAAATGAAAACTGCAATTTTATACTTTAAATTTTGTTCTTGAACCATTACTGAATATACTGTGAAGAGCAATAACATTATAAACATTATTTCCAATTACAATAATTAATTAAACTGCAACAGCTGCTGTTGTCCGTTCTAGTAGTACAAGAAGAATATCCTAGTATCATTCTATAAATAAGAAAATATATGTATATATATATATATATAGGTATACAGTATATATAAGTATATTAGGCATGTAATTAATGACAGCAACTAAATTTTTTTTGGTGCCGAGTTGAGTGCTTTACAAAAGATCAAATGCAGCAAACCATCAGAGGAAGAGTACTAGAATTCTCTCAGCAAAATTACATTTTGCTATATGTATTTCAGCTTTCAACTTTTAAGAAAATGCAACCTGCCATCAATGCACTCATTTCATACACATCTCGAGTAATACTTTCTCATTTCCACATGTACCCCACCAACTGTATATCACAAACCCAACTATGTGACCCATACCATGGAAGCATCAACTCAGCCATGCACAATCAATTTCCTGTGTTTACATTATTATTTAGAACGCTGATCTAAAAACTATATCTTTAATGCTTCCTTGATAATATCAATTTTTAACTTTAATAATTATGCTTTACTATCTCAAACCCACTACTGACACTAGCATACGCACCCCCAAGGTTAAGCCATGTACGTCTCACATGTACGAAGTACCTTTGGCAAGTCTTTGTTATGAACATTGGTTCAAAATTCTTGTGCCTGTCAAGATCTTTAAGTCACTAATGCATTGTCTGTAATAAGTTAGTATAATACAGTACAAGTAAAATATAAAAAAGCTTCACATTCACAAGTAAAGGACCGAGCTAAATAAACAAGAAGTTGATTTATAAAGCAGAAGACACAAAAGATGCACAAGTTGCATAAAAAAAAAATTTATCTTCCACCAGTCACAAGATATCACACTAATGAAATAAATGAATGAAATAAAGAATGTAATATTTTAATACAATTTCACTTGCAAATTAACACCTGTAGAACATAACTCCTCACTTTGAATTACTCAATTCAGGGATACTGCTGTTATCCTTTCAACTTTTATAAAATATACATTATTAAATGATAAAATTTAATACGGTAATTGAATCATTGTTATCATATGTTTACACTCGTACCACAAGAGCCATTAACGCAAACACACATGCTCACATATGCAACCTTTTAATCCTGAAGTGAAGTGTAGAGAAAAGGTTCTCGACTCCCTGGCGTAAACATAGAGAAGAGTCGTCGGAAGAGTGTGACAGCCGAGACAACATGATCGGCATAGGAGGGCTGGTAGTAAGGCTGTCAGGGTATTCCAAATGGAACAACTAAATCTTCTTTATGCTCCACTTTAATGTGCATTAATGCTGCTACCACTTTCTGGGCTGAAGTAGTCATCTGGAAATGAGTTGCAATTTAGTTGAATGCAAGTGAGTGAGTGAGTGAGTGAGTGAGTGAGTGAGTGAGTGAGTGAGTGAGTGAGTGAGTGAGTGAGTTTGTTTCATGTGCATATGCAAGCAAAATGACCTTTCACCTGCTCAATAACACTTGTACAGTGAGGGAATTGGCAAGTATGGGTTAGATGAGGATCTAGAAGGCTTTTGAAGACTAGTCAATAGATAAATATTCTATCTGATGCCATAACAGTAAGGTCACTGATAACATTTAAGTACAAGGCAAGGTCTAAATTACACTAAAGAAAGCCCCAAGCCATTATGAGGATAAGGATTTTGAAAAGGATGGAGGAAATGAATGGTGCCCAATCACTTAGATGGTCGGGGATTGAACGCCAACCTGCAAGAAGCGAGGCGGTCACATTAGTCCAGTCCAAATGGTTGGACTGTACAGTATAAGCACAAGTTTTACCTAACTTTTTGTAGATTCATTCAGTTATCCCCTAAGGAAAGTTCCACTGCATATTTGGACATGATCATGAACAGTGTGGCATGAGCATATAAGGTGCCACGGGGTTTCACTGAAAATCACCCAATCCAGCCCAAAAAAGTGCATTAGTAAAACGTAAAACATTTCCATGGTCTGCCCTGGCATCACAAGTGTCCGTCAAAGACGGGCCCCCCAATAGTAGCTTATTTGCATGCCCAGGAACATAACCACCCACCTCCAGGAGGCAACACCATGTGCACCAGCCAAAATGCATCACGTCTGCAGATGCCTTCCCGGCTGTGGACACAACCATGGGTATGGATGACATGCCCGTGTGGAGGCAAAAGAAATCAAAGATTAGTCAAAACAGTCCAGCCAAACCAAAGATGCCATATGCACATCCCTGCAATTTTTATATGGGACTCTGTTGGGAGAGACCAACCACAAGCACATTAGATTGGAGGACCAAAACCCAAATCCAGAAGAGAGGCTACAATTGAGATGGATGCATGCCTCTATCTCAAGAAGCAGACCACTAGAGAAATGACCAAGTAAAACTTTAATTGCTCAGAATCAGAGATTTGATGAAGCATTATCCAACTGCTGCCATTTCTTCAACAGGAAAGAGGACATATTACATAGTCTGAGATTAGTATTCTTATTTAGCTTGGCAAAGGCAAGAGATAAAGCCATATCCAACAGAAAATGTGCCAAGAAACAAAATGAGTCAAGGGCCAGAGACCACCACAACCTCAAACCCTAAAGACCAAAGAGGGTGCAGAAGCACGAGAAAATTCAAGCCCACTGGGGGCACGCAGCTAATAGTGTCAATAAAGAGCTGACCACTGCAGAAAGTGGGAAAGTGCCTTCAGTCAAACCTGGTTGAAAGGGAAACCATGCCAGCAAAGTTCAGGCAGTTAAGCTAATGCTTTAGATCCCGAGTGGACAATCTCTCTTTATTTTTCCTTATATTCTTCGCATAAAGTGAAAGAAAAGGAAACACACTTACATACACATTAATTTTTCAAAAGAAGTGTTGAGACTCAGCAAGACATGTACATATGCAATTTGTTGCCAACTGACAGGTGGAGTCAGTTCGGAAGATGCAAGTCATTGGAAACAATACACTATATATTCTTCAAATGGCATCAAATAGCATTTTTTACTAAAACAAAAATATATTATGTAGAAAAATCTAAATATTTACTTACCTTTAAAGTGAGTTTCCACTTGTGTTCACCTAGTTGTTCACCTAGTTGTGTTTTGCGGGGGGCTGAGCTTTGCTCTTTCGGCCCGCCTCTCAACTGTCAATCAACTGTTTACCATTTTTTTTCCCACACCACACACACACACACACCCCAGGAAGCAGCCCATGACAGCTGACTAACTCCCAGGTACCTATTTACTGCTAGATAACAGGGGCATTCAGGGTGAAAGAAACTTTGCCCATTTGCTTTTGCCTGGTGTGGGAATCGAACCCGGGCCACAGAATTACGAGTCCTACGCGCTATCCACCAAGCCCCTAAGGGTATCAACTTGTGTTGATACCCTTGAGTGGTAAAATTAGGTATCTGTGCTATTGAATGAATTTGCTTATATAAAGAACTACTACAACTAAAAAAAAAAAAAATATTACTTGTAGATACGAGAAAGTGGTGGTAGCAGTCATATTGCCTAGTTAAGCTAGTAAGAGTATGCCCACTCATATTCCATCGCTAATTCCACTTTTATCAATAGTTAACCTAATAACCCATCCCACATATGTATTTATTTAAATGAAATGACAATATTTAGATTCATCTGTGACAATTATTAACACTTTCGCGCTTTATATTAGAGATAACTCGTCACCGTTTTCTCTTACGATTCCGCATAACTGCCTACTTTTCTCGTCCATCGAAAAAATATTTCTATAAATTCCATTTTTTAACCGAAATGGATGGGGATACTTTTGTTTTGTAGAGAATTTATTTGCGAATGTTTTGGTACCAGAATGAATATTATATCACATAAACTTCTATGAGTAAAAAAAAAAATACACAAAGTATGTTTGGGGGTGTGGCGAGCGTGTGGCAGTGGGTTCCCTTTAGCCGTTGATATATCCAACACGTGGGAAATATTTGTATTTGTTATGTATATGTCTGTGTAGGGAATTTTACTGCCATCACTGTCATACAAATTATAAAATGTTTCAACAAATATAAACATGACAAACATCAAACGAACGAAAACAATGCGTTCGTTTCTGCCGCGAACGCATACTGAGCGACGTGGTTCTATATTTGGCGCTTCTCTTACACATGCTTTGTACAAATGTTATACAGTTCATCTTATAGAAAATTTTATTGCGAACACATTGGTATAAAAAAGAAATACGTACATAGAAAAGTAGGGTCAGGAAACGTATAAACTTTCCAAGCATGATTTCCCCCCTGTGTTTTCGCCAGTGCGCTCGCGACTAACTACTCTCCACTTCACACACTCTTGCGGGTGGGCAATTACCTATATTAAACATTCATATGCATATGTCCGTGTAGAGAATTTTATTGCGATTCCAATGATACCAAAATTAGCGATGTAGGACAACTGTAGGCTTCGCAACTATTAAGAGAGTGGAAACATTTTGTTGCTGTTTGGCGCTCTCGGCGAGTGATCTGCATAGTTTTTTATTTGGTGTTGATACTCCTTATGCTTGGGCGGCATTTTATAGGTATGCTCTTATAGACAATTTCATTGCGAACACAGTGATACCAAATTTAAATACGTGCGCCTTCAATTATTGTCAGGACAGTCAAAAGAGTGTACACTTTTTGGTCTTACCTGGTAGGCGCGCGAAGTGCCGAAAGCATCTGGGGTATTGTTTTTTTTTGAGCGCCGAGAGCGCGAAAGTGTTAAGGGTCCAGAATGAATGTTGTCACCATTTCATGTTTGTATTTACAGTTATTTGGTGTAGGTCACAGTAATTTAACATTTTCTGCAACAGTTAACTACTTCTGTGGTCTACCTCCTCAAGCCAAACACAGCAGCCAAATATCTTTGGTACTCAAAATTTGAATCAGTAATATTGTTTATATGAAAATTAACAAAAAAAGTCCTATAATGAATCAACACCAAACAAGGCCCTAAACCCGAGCCCGAAATGCTACACGTACTAGTGGCTGTACAAGAATGTAAAAACTCTTGTATATATAAATAAATAAAAAAAAAAAAACAGTGGGTCGAGTTATTCGTTGTCTAGCACATTATTGACATTCTCTGCAAGATATGGCTTTGTATTAATATTATTGTCATTATTATATTATGATGGAACTCATAACTCGAGTTAAGGACTTGATGCTGGGATGACTGGTCATTCAGCATTGGAAAGTCTGTACTAAAACATGATGGATAACAAATGCATGGATTGCATTAAACGTCTTGGCACGATCACTTTCACAAACCAACCACTTCGGTCCTGGGTTGAGAATTACCTACAACTATCTGCCTAGGCATGAAGAGTCTGAAATGTTCCTTCATTCAATTTTCTAATGTACTGTATCAGCACTTCAATCTAATATAGAATAAAAATAACCAATCAAAGGCTTATTTAAACAAACATTATTAGTGTTTAGACCTTATTGAGAATCTTGTGCAAATTTGTACCTGTAAGGAACAAATTATTTTTAATTACATTAAAAAATCTTGCTTCCCACTGCACTTACCAAATTTAAATCTGCCACTGAAATTGGCTGGGCAGATAGTATTCTCTCTACAGCTGGTACATCACACAATAGTTCAGCCTCATGGTGAGTTCTGCTGGGAATCTGAAAGCAAAATTTTTCAAGTTAATAACAACAAATTAATTAATTTATTGGCAAGAATTTTCTAATAAACCCAATTCCCACGTGACCATTCACTTGGCAATTACTAAAAGCCGAATTAATTTCACCATGCTCATTATTCAACTCAGAATTTGTGCTCATGTAAATCTTCATATATCTTAGACATATGCTCTTCATGCATTGTTCCTTCAGGAAAACTTCCTATCCTAGGTGGAATGGTTACATGTAAAGCTGCATTTATACATTTGAAGTCCCTTGAAACATTAGGGACTTGCAGGCGATGAGTCACAATAACGTGGCTAAAGTAAGTTGACCAGACCACACACTAGAAGGTGAAGGGACGACGACATTTCGGTCCGGCCTGGACCATTCTCAAGTCGATTGTGAAGAGGAAGTAGATGCAGGCAATAAATAGGCTAGAGAGAGGTGAGGAGCAAAGTGTAGTAGAGGAGATAGTAGTAGGAATAAGAACTGCAGAGGGCCTATTGGCCCATACGAGGCAGCTCCTATTATAACCACCGAATGAGAAGAAGATAGTACAATACAATACAATACAATTTTATTTAGGTAAGGTACATACATACAATAAATTTTTACAAGGATTGGTTGACTTATAGGTAGAGCTAGTACATACAATGCCTAAAGCCACTATTACGCAAAGCGTTTCGGGCATGATAGGAATGAGAAGAGAATAGTAAGGGAACGTAAAGAAAACAAAAAACAGAGAAGAGAGAAGAATCAATTAAGGACTTGAATAGTACCAGACATCTTTGGCGTCAAGTCATAAAACAAGGCATTTCTCTCAAAAAAAAAAATAAAACAAGTAGTTTGACATGCAATATATTTATAAGCATATAACTACCTCTAGCAAGCATACAAAAGTGAAAATCCAAATCAAGTAACGTGAATGTTAGACACAAACACATTCAAAGAGGAAAGAAGCCCCCCTTTTATATCCCTCCATGTGGTAGTGTATGTGTGAGTGACTATAACCAAACACATTACTGTATAACATCCTCATCATTACCCAATTTTCCCCCTCCCCCCCCCCCACTCTTCTCATGGAATGGGGGAAGCATCAGTCTAGAAATTACAGTAGAGTAAGAGTTTAAATTATTAGATATACAGTACAGTATTTATTTGCAGGAATATGAGCTCGCCCCAATTTCAGTTTGCAGCAAGTTTTGGACACAGTTCATACAAAAATATTTGCACCATGATTTTAAATCGAACCCTGAAGTTCAGCTATCACTTTAAAACACCAATTGTATTCACATCCAAAATTACTAACACAAACTTTTATGGCTTAATAAATTCCCATTCAAAATTACTATATTAACAGAGTATGTTATTCTTTAGAGGCAAGGTTTGTGGCAGAATTTTTTATTTTAAATAAGCATGCAGAGCTGCATGGAAAAGTTATGGGCTGATAGTAATATGTATACAGTATTGTCTCTCCCAAGACTTTCCAACAATGCCAGGCATTGAAATTGCTGTTTACGTTACATTTTTGGTAAAAAAATTTATCATGCAGCAGTTTCAAAAGCCATAGGAAGAGCTACAGTTGCAGGCCATGCAAACCAATAAAATAGAGCATATTAAGCAACATTAAAAATACTTACCTCAGAAAGGCAAAGTAATCTAACAATTTACCTTTTGTGGTGGTACAGTATTGAGGCGTTGATTATACGTCCGCACCCTGTCTATGTACTCGTGCTGTTCTAAGGTGTGGCAGTCCAGAGCTCCCACATCAATAATGTTGCTGTAATATAGCAACATCATTAATGTTAAGATTATAAAAATCTTTTTATTTACTTTCCCAGCTTCCTCCCAATTATTTAAAAAACCTTCATTAAAAAACTGGCGATGAATGTAATGAAATGCCATTTTCTAGGTGAACCCCAGAGGCTCTCTGAAGCTATCCAGACTGATATGTGCTATAATAAATTGAGAACATCCATTATGGAAGTTCTTGCCTACCGGGGACCACGAGCCAGAACCTGGGCCCCCTCAGAGGCACAGGGAGCAATAGCCATATGAACACTTCATTTAGAATATGTCATGTCTGACATTGACTGGGAAAAGCACCCAGAAAGGTAGGAGAACCAATACAAACCCTCTACTGGTGAAAATTGCAACCCATGTCCAAAAAGAGCCAAAGAACTCCCCCAAATAAATACAAACAAGCAAATCGTCATCCAACTAGTGTGCCCGCTCGTTAGTGCCCCCGGCTTCCCTGAAAAGGGGGGGGGGGGGAGAGAAGCCTGCTCAGGCGAGTCGGCAGCTCAACCCTCCAGATCGTAGAATGATGACAACTGCTGACTGGAGGGAGGGAAGGAGGGAGGAAGGGAGGGAAGGAGGGAGGAAGAGAGGGAAGGAGGGAGGAAGGGAGAGAAGGAGGGAGGAAGGGAGAGAAGGAGGGAGGAAGGGAGAGAAGGAGGGAGGAAGGGAGAGAAGGAGGGAGGAAGGGAGGGTGTCAAGAAGCCTCTGGGTCTCAACCAGAAAATGGCATTTCATTACTTTCAATGGTAGTTTTCTGTGGGGAGCCCCATTGGCTCCCTGAAGCTAACTACCCACAGGTAAGTAAAATTGAGTCAAAGCAACACAAGTCTAGAGAGGGCCTGAAACGTTGACAAGATACTGGCGTCCAGGACCCTGTTTGATTTACAAAACCCTTGTGCCCGAATGCCAACCCAAGAAATATTCCCAAAGACAGCAGCGAGAGCAGCATATTTCCTCACATCATGGGCACGAGAGTAGACTGCAGGCTGGCTAGACTTGATAACCTTGCAGACAACCCGAGACACACGAGCCCTGGAACAGGGAACCAGGGAAACCGGATCAATCCAGAGCACATCCACTGTCACTGAACCAGTGGCCCGCACGAGTGTCGTAAAACCGCAACCGGACACAAAACATGATGCATTCCTAGCTTAACCAACCAAGCTTCAACAACCCACGGAACCCTTCGGAAGCCAGCCGTCTCATTCTTCGCCAGAAAAGAAGGAGAGGGCTACAAACTAACAAATCGACCCCTAGGACCAAAGAGCAGAAACACCTGCGCCAGAGAAGAGCATGAAGCTCCCCAACCAAACTCCCATAGGCTAAAGCCATCAAAAACAAAGCTTTCATAAAATAGTCATGAACCGAAAGGGCCACCCAGAAACAAACTGAGAGGAGAGGAACGAGAGCACCTGGTCCAAAGAAGAAGGCTCCTTCTCGAGAAGAAGCTGGACCTGTGCCGGACCTGTGAGTTGGTCATCCGAAAGGAGGGGCAAGGAATCAAATGGTTCAGATGGGACAAGTCCAGAATGAACCGAAGATCCGCACAGTCCTGTTTCGGAACTGGAAACAAGTGGGAAACCACTTTGAGAGACGAAGTCGTTTTGACCACACTCAAGCGAACCCACTCCAAGACGACCAGACAAAGACACAGGGAAGAAGCTTGACATACCAGCCCCAAACCTGCCAATGGAGGATGAGCCGCCCAATGTCGCCACAAGCCGGTAGAGACGACCTAGTAAGCCCACAAATTGTATGTGGGGGCGGGTGAAGGGGTGTGTGTAGGCAAGGGGGAACAAGTCAGACAACACCTGTACAGCAGGGGTGTGGGGGAGGGGGGTAGTATGTATGAAGGGGGGGGGAAGGAGTGTGTAGGGAAAGGGGAACAAGTCAGACAACATCTGTGCAGCAGGAAATCCATAAAATTAACAAAGATATTTATCACAGTCATGCTATGCTATGATGATACATGCAAGATACATCTTAAAATGGCTGCATAATGTATACCAAAGAGTATATTATGCATATATAATGTATAGTATAAACATACCAAACTGATCAATTATGCATTCCTTATACACTGAAGGTGGATCTACTTACAAATTTACTCTTAGTTCCGCCTTACAAACATCAAACTTTATTACCTCAAAATATTCTTTATTAACTATATTACAAAAACTAAAATTTAAGTACTTGTGTTACATATAAAGTAGGACAAGACACTGACTTTGGGAATATATATATTCATGTTCCACCATAATTCTAATAAAATTATGTCTAATATTAACAAGGTCTAATTTTAATCATGAAAATAACAAAAAATCATGCAATAACTCTTGTGTGCTACTGGTGTCAACAAAGAAGCTAACCTGGCTGTCTGCTGCAGAATGCGATTGAGAGCCGTCTGCTCATCGGATTTTTTGGTGGCAGAACTTGAATAGTGGTTGCCATATTCACCGGTGCTGGAATATACCATCAGTTGCATTATCAAGAAAAAATATTTTGATTTAAATTAAACACCTAGATTTTTTTCAAAAGTAGAAATCAACTTAAATTGTATTCCCACTAAAACAGAAGAAGAAAATCCATTGCTTATAAATAACCTAACACCAACACAAAAATTACATTTCATTAAAAGTGACGATGTTTCAGTATGTCTTTTAAAACCAATATACTTTCCAAACTGTTTCTACTGCTTTAATAAACATATTTTTCATGTCCACTCCTCAACATTGTGTGGTACCCACACAACAGGGTACACACTACCATTCCTTTATGCAAATCCCAACTACATTGTACTATCATAACTTTTTTTAACGAGAGCCTTTGTTGCATCCAACAATTTCCTTTCTTGAATTTCTACCTTCGATTTTCCTTACATAAATTCCTTTTTATTAATCAACCCATCCAAGGGTTGCAGTCAATGCAACCCTTGGATGCAAGCCATCTTGCAACCCATCCAAGCTGTGTCAATGTCTTTGCAATAATATAATAATCACAAAAATATGAACCTTCTTGCATTTAAAGACACTAGATGGAGTACCCAGCTGTGTTCAGGCCTCTTTTTCCCTTCCTCCCTTCTCTACCCCTCCCTACCTTTCTCCTATCTTTCTCTGCTCTACCCCATGTGTCTCCTCTCTTGCTCTCATCTCTCCCATCTTTCTTCCCAGTCTTCTCTCCCCCCTATCTCTCTCTTTGGCCTTCGCTGCCCCCTCCCCTCCCCATCTCTCTCCTTGGCCTTCTCTGCCCCCCTACCCCCCATCTCTCCCCTCGGCCTTCTCTGCCCCTCTACCCCCATCTCTCTCCTCGGCCTCCTCTGCCCCCCCTCCCCCCATCTCTCTCCTCGGCCTTCTCTGCCCCCCCCTCTCTCTCTCCTCGGCCTTCTCTGCCCCCCCTCTCTCTCTCCTTGGCCTTCTCTGCCCCCCTCTCTCTCTCCTTGGCCTTCTCTGCCCCCCTCTCTCTCTCCTTGGCCTTCTCTGCCCCCCCTCTTTCTCTCCTTGGCCTTCTCTGCCCCCCTCTCTCTCTCTCCTTGGCTTTCTCTGCCCCCCTCTCTCTCTCTCCTTGGCTTTCTCTGCCCCCCCTCTCTCTCTCCTTGGCCTTCTCTGCCCCCTCTCTCTCTCCTTGGCCTTCTCTGTCCCCCCTCTCTCTCTCCTTGGCCTTCTCTGCCCCCTCTCTCTCTCCTTGGCCTTCTCTGCCCCCCTCTCTCTCTCCTTGGCCTTCTCTGCCCCCCTCTCTCTCTCCTTGGCCTTCTCTGCCCCCCTCTCTCTCTCCTTGGCCTTCTCTGCCCCCCTCTCTCTCTCCTTGGCCTTCTCTGCCCCCCTCTCTCTCTCCTTGGCCTTCTCTGCCCTCTCTCTCTCTCCTTGGCCTTCTCTGCCCCCCTCTCTCTCTCCTTGGCCTTCTCTGCCCCCCCTCTCTCTCCTTGGTCTTCTCTGCCCCCCTCTCTCTCTCCTTGGCCTTCTCTGCCCCCTTCTCTCTCTCCTCGGCCTTCTCTGCCCCTCTCTCTCTCCTCGGCCTTCTCTGCCCCTCTCTCTCTCTCTCTCCTCGGCCTTCTCTGCCCCCCCCTCTCTCCTCGGCCTTCTCTGCCCCCCTTTCTCTCCTCGGCCCTCTCTGCCCCCCTCTCTCCTCAGCCTTCTCTGCCCCCCCCTCTCCTCGGCCTTCTCTGCCCCCCCCTCTCCTCGGCCTTCTCTGCCCCCCCCTCTCTCCTCGGCCTTCTCTGCCCCCCCCTCTCCTCGGCCTTCTCTGCCCCCCCTCCTCTCCTCGGCCTTCTCAGCCCCTCTCTCTCTCTCCCCGATCTCTCTCCTCGGCCTTCTCTGCCCCTCCCCCATCTCTCTCCTCGGCCTTCTCTGCCCCCTACCTTGAGGTTACCTTGAGGTGCTTCCGGGGCTTAGTGTCCCCGCGGCCCGGTCGTCGACCAGGCCTCCTGGTTGCTGGACTGATCAACCAGGCTGTTAGACGCGGCTGCTCGCAGCCTGATGTATGAGTCACAGCCTGGTTGATCAGGTATCCTTTGGAGGTGCTTATCCAGTTCTCTTGAACACTGTGAGGGGTCGGCCAGTTATGCCCCTTATGTGTAGTGGAAGCCCCAATCTCTCTCCTCGGCCTTCTGTGCCCCCTCCCCCCTCCCTGATCTCTATCCTCGGCCTTCTGTGCCCCCCCCCCATCCCTGATCTCTCTCCTCGGCCTTCTCTGCCCCCCCCCCCCATCTCCTCGGCCTTCTCTGCTCCCCCCCCCCCCCCATCTCTCTCCTCGGTCTTCTCGCCCACCAACTCTCTTCTCAGTATGTATTATATATATATATATATATATATATATATATATATATATATATATATATGCAGGCGATGAGTCACAATAGCGTGGCTGAAGTATGTTGACCAGAGTTTCCTCCTCAGCTCTCTCTTGCCTATTTATTGCCTGTCCCTACCTCCTCATCACAATCGACTTGAGAATGGTCCAGGACGGACCGAAACGTCGTCGTCCCTTCAATTTCTAGTGTGTGGTCTGGTCAATATATATATATATATTATATATATATATATATATATATATATATATATATATATATATCTCGGAAAATGTATTATTATGAACAACTGAAAAACTGCTGAAACAGTATCAATCAACCAGGTACCAATCAGTCAACAGTACCAATCAACCAGGTATCAGTCTATAGAAAAATAAGAAAACAAATCCCCAATTTCATACTCCATGAAAAAATTTGGAGCCAATATTTCTTAAAGTGGGCACTGGGGCTGACCCCGACAAGTCTATGACACTCCCAAATTACCCAGTGTCATCTTGAAAAGTTGGACGAGACTAGTTCCAAGTGTCTGACCTCCAACCTTGGACAGACATCTTTTATATAGATAAATAAATAAAATGTAAAACCTCTCTCCATTCATGTTTATTTCAACCACAACATTTACTTCTCTCCACGTCACCATAACTTTGTCCAACATTAACATTTAACAACCTACCTTTCATGAAGGACCCCATCCATGTATACAACATGTTTTTAGTCCACCACCAACTGAATATATGTTGTATTTACATGCACAAAAATCATGGACTTACTCTATAAAACCACTTGAAAATCACTAATAATAAAATTTTGATGAAGTACACTAAATTATTATTCTTTTTTTTCCACAAAATAGCCTTGTAAGTTAAGTATATTATAAACCTCAAAATATAATAAACTGCATTAATATCAAACCAATCACTAATTACACAATTTCCTTTTCCACAGGCACTACTTCCTACATAAATTCAGCTATAATAAACCTTTAATTTTTATTACTGTACCTTGAATTAACCTGGTAAGCATTGCTGACCGATTCACTTAGTAGACGAGTCCTCTCATTGACCTCACCGTCCTGCTAATGAAAGACAAGTTTAGCATACGCTTTTTCAAACTTAAAGAAAAAATTCTTAAACGTGTTTTTTACACTTTCACATTCTCACGACACTAAAACGTGTCATTCGTACTCCGACAGAAACATTTCAATGATGCTAAAATGAGTCATCTGGTTGTTATTCATGAACATTCATATATACATCACTTTTGTGCATGTTCTATTAAAAATATATTTTTGTTTTTGTCCTCTAGAGAATTAATTTGCAAACTTTCTGGCACCAAATTCATAGTAATAAGTGAACAAATAACAAAGAAAACATAAAATGATTGTAAACATTTTAAGCATAGCTGAGCGAGGGAGGCCACACACAGGAGAACGTTCACTGGGAAGGGAAAGGTCCACTCAGTGCACAACATGTAGGCCACCAGATAAAAAATATATACTGTACTTCATTTTAGTAGGGAAATACATATGAAACTTGTATATACAGTTCTAATCTTTAACAATTATTTGTAATAATACTAGCTACTTTGTATGTTAATATTCTTTTCATGTAACTTGTGTTTTGAACAAAGGATGCCACATGTTGCTCACTAACAACAGTAAAGCCCAGCACAATAAACTTTCTATATTTTGTTTGGCAGGAAATCCTCAAATAAAATAAATCTCAGATTAAATAATACCCAAATTTGTAACAAAATAGATGGCAAATTCGTTGGCGTTCTCATTGACCACAAACTGAATTTCCAGGGACACATTCTAAATATATCAAAAAAGTTTCAAAAACTGTTGGCATTCTTTCTAAGATCAGATATTATGTACCTCGCCATGCCCTAGTGACGCTCTATTACTCCCTCATCTATTCTTATCTCAACTATGGTATTTGTGCTTGGAGTTCTACTACCCAAAATCATTTACGTCCTCTAATTACTCAACACAAAGCTGCTATTGGGACAATATACAACTCTGGCCCCAGACATCCCTCAGTACCTCTTCTCAAATCTCTGAATATGTTAGATATTAAGTCACTGCACATCCTCTTATGTGTATTATATATATATAAAACGCTGAACTGTAATGCCAATCCTGACCTTAAAAGCTTCATTGAAGGTTGTAACAGAACCCATGAGCACCACACCAGAAACAAATACCTTTTTGATATTCCAAGAGTACGACTTAATCAAACTAGGAATGCTCTACAAATCAAGGGGCCCAGAATGTGGAATGACCTTCCCAATCATGTTAAAGACTGTACCTCTCTTAACCAGTTTTAAGATGAAAACTAAGCACTACCTAATTAACTCCCTGTAACCTATCTTACCCCTATAATGTCAACCCATGTTTGTTATTTTTAAACAATGCTGTTTGTTGACCAAATTATATTTTTGCTGTTTTCCTGCCATGTTCCCCCTTTTTTATTTTTATATTTTCTCAACACATTTTATACTTTAATCTCAATTAGTATTAAGTTATAGTCTTTAGTGTTTTTCCTGCCCGAAACGCTTTGCATAATAGTGGCTTTAGGCATTATATGTACTAGCTCTATCTATAAATTCATCAAAATCTGTATCACCCCTCATATGTATGTACTTTACCTAAATAAACATTTGAATTTTTTTTTTTTAATAAATATAAATAAATATATATTTATTCAGGTATAAGTACCTGTACCTACATACAAGATGAGTTACAAACACAATGTTAAATTTCTAGATAGAGTTAGTAAATACTGTACTATGCCTAAAGCAACTAATACGCACAGCATTTTGGGCAGGTAATTTGGATTTCTTCTGAATTAAGAAATTATCAAAAGAATGCAAAAAGCTGGAAAGAATATGTAGCACTGCAGAATGTCCACATTAAGTAAACTAAAACTTGGACTATTTTCGCTATACCCAAAGCACTGTGGCTTATACACAACTGATTAGTCAGTAGCTATTACTTAATTGTAACTGGATGGGTGACCATACGGCACAGCTTCGCCGAAGTATTTCCGTCTCCAACAGGGAAACAAAGATATAGAACAATCAAAAGCTATCACAACGTTTAAAATACGCGCATAGAGACATAAGTGTAATGGCATTCTTATTATCCTAAATGGTGAAAATAGCGCCGCCCATGACAGCCTTCAGGCTCAGTAAACCTAATTACAGTACCACAGACCACTAGTTTCAAGCTCGGTAAACCTAGCTAGAGAGTAAACAAGTCAGGTATGGGCGGGTTCTTGAGCACACATGAAGACTAGCCATTGCATGCACGCTCTCATAACGAACCAGCTTTTGACTTCCTGTTAACGAGTGTCAATAATACCGAGTTATTCCAGTACCTGAGAATGAGTCTCTTGCTCGGTGCTGCAACAACATCCCATTGAGAAGATTAATAAGAAAAGTCTTCAGCAGGTTTGAGTCATATGACCGAGAGTCAGACGACAACAAGGTTCAGCTGGGATAGGTTCAGCCAATCACAGCTCAGGACGACTCTCAGCCAATCAGAGGCCGTTCTTCCTACAACAACAAGGGATCTAAACTATAACGTTAGTTTTTTTTTTTTTTTTTGCACAATGTGCATAGTTCACCGGCATAATATTTGTCAGTGAATAATAATTAGTATTAATTAATAATAATAATACGTAATATATTACAGTTAATATAGCATTAACGTTGCATTTTCTAAATGTATTACTCTATTTTAGGTACAGCGTTTCGGGTTATAAAATTAGATTATTTTTGGCCGCAACGCAATACGTGTTAGTGGCTTAGACTCGTAACTGTGTGACTCACCATAGATGTGAAGTGCCTTGTATAGTGACTGTTGTGAGCCTCTTGTTGAATCACTTGTGATATAAAAATATTATTAAAGTACTCGCCTAGTTGTACTCACCTAGTTGTGCTTGCGTGGGTTGAGCTCTGGCTCTTTAGTCCCGCCTCTCAACCGTCAATCAACAGGTGTACAGGTTCCTGAGCCTATTGGGCTCTATCATATCTACACTTGAAACTGTGTATGGAGTCAGCCTCCACCACATCGCTTCCTAATGCTTTCCATTTGTCAACCACTCTGACACTAAAAAAGTTCTTTCTAAAATCTCTGTGGCTCACTTGGGCACTCAGTTTCCACCTGTGTCCCCTAGTGCGTGTTCCCTTGTGTTAAATAGCTAGTCTTTATCAACCCTGTCGATTCCCTTGGGAATCTTGAATGTGGTGATCATGTCCCCCCTAACTCTTCTGTCTTCCAACGAAGTGAGGTTTAATTCCCGTAGTCTCTCCTCGTAGCTCATACCACTCAGCTCGGGTACTAGTCTTGTGGCAAACCTTTGAACCTTTTCCAGTTTAGTCTTATGCTCGACTAGATATGAATTCCATGCTGGAGCCACATACTCCAGGATTGGTCTGACATATGTGGTATATAATGTTCTGAAAGATTCCTTACACAAGTTTCTAAAGGCCGTTCTTATGTTAGCCAACCTGGCATATGCTGCTGATGTTATCTTCTTGATATGAGCTTCAGGGGACAGGTCTGGCGTGATATCTCTCTCTCTGACTCTTGAAGTATTTCATCTCCCAAATGGTACCTTGTATCTGGTCTCCTGCTTCCTACTCCTATCTTCATTACATTCGTTACATTTGCTTGGGTTAAACTCTAACAGCCATTTGTTCGACCATTCCTGCAGCTTGTCCAGGTCTTCTTAAAGCCTCAAGCTGTCCTCCTCTGTCTTAATCCTTCTCATAATTTTGGCGTCGTCAGCAAACATTGAGAGGAATGAGTCTATACCCTCTGGGAGATCATTTACGTATATCAGAAACAGGATAGGTCCAAGCACAGAGCCCTGTGGGACTCCACTGGTGACTTCACGCCATTCTGAGGTCTCACCCCTCACTGTAACTCTCTGCTTCCTATTGCTTAGGTACTCCCTTATCCACTGGAGCGCCCTACCAGTTACTCCTGCCTGTTTCTCCAGCTTATGCATTAACCTTTTATGGGGTACTGTGTCAAAGGCTTTCCGACAGTCCAAAAAAATGCAGTCCGCCCACCCTTCTCTTTCTTGCTTAATCTTTGTCACCTGATCATAGAATTCTATCAAGCCTTTAAGGCAAGATTTACCCTCCCTGAACCCATGTTGATGGGTTGTCACGAAGTCTCTTCTCTCCAGATGTGTTACTAGGTTTTTTCTCACAATCTTCTCCATCACCTTGCATGGTATACAAGTTAAGGACACTGGCCTGTAGTTCAGTGCCTCTTGTCTGTCACCCTTTTTGTATATTGGTACTACATTAGCAGTCTTCCATATTTCTGGTAGGTCCCCCGTTTCCAGTGACCTACTATACACTATGGAGAGTGGTAAGCAAAGTGCTCTTGCACACTCTTTCAATACCCATGGCGAGATTCCGTCCGGCCCAACAGCTTTTCTCACATCCAGCTCCAATAGGTGCTTCTTGACCTCATCTCTTGTAATTTCGAACCTTTCCAAGGTCACCTGGTTTGCTGCCACCTCGTCTAACGCCGTGACATCTCCCTGTTCTATTGTAAAGACCTCCTGGAACCTTTTGTTGAGTTCTTCACACACCTCTTTGTCATTCTCTGTGTACCTGTCCTCGTCCACCCTAAGTTTCATCACCTGTTCCTTCACTGTTGTCTTCCTCCTGATGTGACTGTGTAGTAGCTTTGGTTCGGTCTTGGCTTTATTAGCTATATCATTTTCATACCTTTTCTCGGCTGCTCTTCTCACACTGACATACTCGTTCCTGGTTCTCTGGTATCTCTCTCTACTTTCTGGTGTTCTGTTATTACGGAAGTTCCTCCATGCCCTTTTGTTCAGCTCCTTTGCTTTCATACATTCCCTATTAAACCACGGATTCTTCCTTTGCTTCTCTTTTTTTTTCCTGTCGGGCTGGGACAAACCTGCTTACAGCCTCCTGACATTTTTGGGTGACATAGTCCATCATGTCTTGTACGGACTTGGTTCCGAGTTCTGTGTCCCAATGTATATCCCATAGGAATTTATTCATTTCCTCATAGTTTCCCTTTCAGTACGCCAGCCCTTTGGTTCCCAGTTCTTTTTTGGGGGCGATAATTCCCAGCTCAACCAGGTACTCAAAGCTCAATACACTATGATCACTCATTCCCAATGGGGCTTCCAACTTAACATCCCTTATATCCGACTCATTTAGCGTAAATATTAGATCAAGCAAGGCTGGTTCATCCCCTCCTCTCATTCTTGTCGGTCCCTTGACGTGTTGACTTAGAAAGTTTCTTGTTGCCACATCCAGCAGCTTGGCTCTCCATGTGTCTGGGCCTCCATGTGGGTCTCTGTTCCCCCAATCTATCTTCCCATGGTTGAAGTCTTCCATGATTAGAAGTCTGGATCCGTTCCTGCTGGCCACAGAAGCTGTTCTCTCTCTATTATATTGATGGTGGCCAAGTTGTTTATTATATTCCTGTCTGGGTTTGCTACGGCAAACTTCCAAAAAACTCAGTGGGTAACAAAGCTTGAGTTACCTGCTGCTGATATTATTGTCAATCTTGTTAAGTTGTGCATTAAAGAATGTAAATTTACCTTTAATAATGAGTATTATTTACAGACTTTTGGAATGACAATGTGGAATCCTTTATCGCCATTGCTTTCAAACTTCTACATGGAATTCTTCGAAAAGAAATTTGTTTCAAAAATAACTCCTGGAATCATTCCATGGTTTAGATATGTTGATATTTTGTGTATATGGCCTTCAGATGTAAACACAGACGAATTTGTAGCCAAACTTAATGACCAAGTCACCTCTATAAAATTTACTATGGAGACTGAAATTGTTAAATGTTTGCCATTCCTAGATGTACTTATTTATAGGGAAGACTTTTCACTAAAGTTTAGTGTCTACAGAAAACCTACGAATAATTTATCTTATGTTCATTATTTTTCAGGGCATAGATACAATGTGAAAAAGTCAATTTTTTCTTCAATGAGCTCTTCGAGTTGTGAGTCCAGAATTCTTAGACGAAGAGTTTAAGAATATTTATTCGATTGGTCTCAAGCTTTGTTACCCACTGAGTTTTTTGGAAGTTTGCCGTAGCAAAGCACGTCGTACATATTATAATAATATATGCAGTGAAAGAATTCGCCCAAAGAATGTGTTATGTTTACCATATTTCTCTGGGTTTGAGAATATTGTCAAGGCCTTGAACCTTTTTTAATATACATGTATTGTTTAGCTACGAAAATACTGTTGGTAAGCTATTAGTTAGGAACAGCCCTCGTAGTGATAATTGTGTCATTTATAAAATATCTTGTAAAGACTGTAATAAGTTCTATGATGGGCAAACATCTAAAAGATTTGAAATGTAGAATTTCGCAACATAAATACTCTGTAAGACACGACCAATTGTCTAATGCTTTGTTTGTTCATCTGTCAGATGATGCTCACCAAAATGATTGGGAGATGACTTCTTTAATAACGAATTGTAAAATCACCCATAACAGAAACATAATTGAGTCTGCTTTGATACAGATCACAAAATAAAGTAATTTGAACATTAGCAGTGGTCTATATAACTTAGATCCATTTTTAATAGATCAATTAAAGGGCGATTTAAGTAGGATCATTGGAACACATTTGTCTCACTAATTCATTGTAAATATTTACTATTTTATGCTATGATTATCCATGTGTGGGCCTGTGTGTGGTTGCTGCATCGGAAGGGCCAATAGGCCGTCTGCAGTGTCCACGTATTGTACCTCACCTCACTCCATTCTCTCCTGCCTATTTATGTCCAGTACTCGACCTGTAAAATCACTCCTTCTGAAGATGTATTAATATACGAAAGTACTTAAGGAAATTCCTGTTTCAATGTTCCTCCGTGGTCTGACTGTCACATTTTTAATCAGGTATTTATTTTCGTGATATACACACACACACATATATATATATATGTATTATTTATATTAATATATATATATATATATATATATATATATATATATATATATATATATATATATATTATATATATATAATATATATATATATATATATATATATATATATATATATATATATATATTTATATATTATTAAATATGACCGAAAAAGTAAGATTAATAATTCTAACACGAATTTTCTCAATCTTTCGTACATTTCTTTTCACTGTTGGAGGTAAATCAAAAATCAATTCTCCAAAATTCATTTTTATTTCTAGTCTGACGCGACACGAGCGCGTTTCGTAAAACTTATTACATTTTCAAAGACTTTAGTTCACAAATACACATACACAACTGAATAGAACTTACGCATCTCCGATTTTATATCTACATTTGAGTGAGGTGGATGGGGTGAGGTGGCATTAATAGGGTATTAATTTCATCAACACAAGACAGAACAAGAGGTGGTATTAATAGGGTATTAATTTCATCAACACAAGACAGAACACGAAACAATGGGTATTGAATAGAAGTGTTTGTAGAAAGCCTATTGGTCCATATTTCTTGATGCTTCTAT